AGAGTTATCCTGAGTATCTTTGGAGCTGCCCTAGACTCTGCATGCCTCTATATTTTTTGTTTTCTTATTATTTTTGTTCTGCACTATTTGAGTAATTTCCCCAAGACTTCCTTTTTGATCAATGGATTATTCAGAAGTGTGTTTGGAAATTTTCTATGACCCCCTTTTGTATTGATTTCTAGGTTAACTGCATCATGATCAAAGAATATACTTTTATGATTTCAGTGCTTTTAAATTTCTTGAGATTTGCTTTATGATCTAGGATATGGGCTATTGTAACTGCTTAGTGTTGTGCAATAGAGCTCTAGAACTTTATCAGCTTGAAAAACTAAAACTCTGTGCCCACTGAATGAAATCTTCACTTCCTTCCATATCTCCTGGCAACAACCATTCTATATTCTGAGTGTGATTATTTAAGAAATGAACTCTAGTTTTCTGATAATGTTTGCATGATATACTTTTTCTAAATTTTCAGTTAAAAAAGTTGAGTCATAAGTCATATGATACAATTCATTTCCTTAGTTCAATGATTAGTAGTATATTTTCAGACATTTGCAATCATATCCACTACTTCTAGAAACTTTCATTCCCTGAAAAGGAAACTTTCTTTTTGTAGTAGTCACCCTCTGTTCCTCCTTATTACTAACCTCTGCGTACCACTAATCTTTGTTGTGCATCTATGGATATGGCTATACTAGACAGTTCATATAAGTGGAAGCATATAATTTCTATCCTTTTGTGACCCAAAATTTTCAACTAATAAATCTTTAATCTTTTTTAAATATTCAAACATATTGTAGTATTTATCAATATTTAATTTCTTCTTACAGTTTAATACTGTTTTGTTACACTGGGTTTGCTGCACTTATTTTCCTGGTTCTTTTGTTGATGAACACCTGAGATATTTTCTTTCTTGAGACACAGTCTTGCTATGTAGATTAGACTGCTGTTGAACTCATCATGTAGCTCAGGCTGGCCTTGAACGCATGGTGACTCCTGCCTCAGACTCTGAAGTATTGGGATTACAGGCACGTGTCACCATCTCTGGCTTCTATGTTTTGGTTTTTATGAACATTTAGTTATGAAATTCACATACAAATTTTTGGTGAACACGTTTTTCATTTTCTTGACTATACACCTGGGAGTGGAATGACTCAGCCTTATGGTAATTTTGATGTTGTTTTCTAAAGTGGCTGTACCATTTTACATACACAACAACAAAATATAATTATCCCAGTCATCCATATTCACCAATTTCTGTCATCGTTCATCTTCATGACAACCTTATGATTAAGTGGTATCTCATTGTGGTTTTGAATTGCATTTCTTTAATGGCTAAATGTAGATTTAGCTTCTAGATTTAATGTAAACTTTCATGTCATTGGTCATTTTTTTCTTGTCTTTTTCCTTTTTATTGGTACCAGGGATCGAATTCACGACTGCCTGCTTGCAAGGCAGGCGCTTATGCTGCTGAGTTAAATCCCCAGCCCCCCATTGGTCATTTTTTTTTTTTTTACCTCTTTTGAGAAACACTTTGCTCAGTTTTAAATTGGATTATCTTTTTATTCTTGAGTTTGTGCAAGTTCTTTACATAGGTACAGGTCTCATCAAATATAGGATTTGCATTTTCCCCCTATTTGTGTGTGCATTTTTCATTTTCTTGATGGTGATCAAAGGTTTTAAGTTTTTATGAAACTTTATTTTTTCCTCTTGATTTTTTTCCTTTTTGGTGTGGTATCTAAGGCTTTAAGTAACTGCAGGTTATACTTACTCCTGTTTTCTTTGAAGAATTTTAGTTTTATGTCTACTTTTATGACCTAGTTTGAATTACCTTTTGTGCATAGTGTAAGGAAATGGTCTAAGTTCATTCTTTGTCATGTGGATATACTAGTATCATTTGTTGGAAAGACTATTTTTTCCTTCAGTTGTCTAGGTCTTCTTGGTGAAAACAAATTGATCACAGTGTAAAGATTCATCTTTTCCTTGTAGGCAGTTTTTATTCATGTTATTTCAAAAAATCTATTTTGGTTAATTTGGCTTTTAATTATTGTGTTTATAACATTTATATTTAATGTGGTTGTTTATGTGTTTGAATTTAGATGTAATGATCTGAAAAATAAGTCCTTATGACTTGTTTTATTATATAAATTTTATAAGACCAAACTTTTTTTAGAAGGCAAAGTCTCACTATGTAGTTCAGGCTGGCATTAAACTTTCAGCAGTCCTCCTGCTTCTGCCTGCTAACTACTGGGATTACAAGCATGTACCACTGCATCTGGCATAAGACCAAACATTTTTTTTTTTTTTTGGAACCGAGAATCAAACACAGAATGTCACACTTGTCAGGCAGGCGTCCTACTTACTGAGCTATATTCCTAGCCCTAAGACCAAACATTTTTAAAGACATCAGGCATTGTCATTTAACTTAGATATTTAGAAAGTTTGTTTATTTACTGAATATAAAATATACTATTCTTTATTTCATATAATAAAATCAGAATACAGCATTATCTTTAAATATAAATCAGCTGGGCATAGGGGCACATATTTGTAATCCCAGCCACTTAGATGCCTGAAACGGGAAGTTTGCAAGTTCAAGCCCAGCCCGGGCAACTTAGCCTCTCTCTCAACTAAACAAAGTGAAGTAAAGCAAGACAAAACAAAACAGAACTCAAAAAACACAGATCTATCTTCAAAAATTATACAGTATTCTCAGTGTCGGATATTCCATAATTTCAAATATGCTACTACGGTTTTAAATCTCTTGCTATTAAAATCATAGGTAATATAAATTGCCATACATATTTAATGTTTAATTTTAGCTTTGTAAATTTAATGTTATCTTATTTGTTATAAAATTCTCTCAAGATATACTTTGTAAAATGTAGTTATATTACAGTTACATAACTGATCAGTAAATGTTTATGATTAATCATGCAACATTCAAGATTTGCTTTCTGTACTCAGGATTGAACCCAAGGGTCTTTGCACTGAGCTTCATATCTAATGCTTTATTTTTTATTTTGAGATAAAGTGTCGCTAAGTTGCTAGATTGTCTAGGCTAGGCTCAAACTTGCCATTCTCCCTTGGCCTGTCTGCTGGTATAGGCATACACTATCATGCTACAGGGAAAAATGAAGCCCAAGATGCTTGCACAATGATTCAGGCTGTGTGTGTGGGTGATTTTCAGTGGCCATTAAATCCAAGTCAACAAAATTTCTATGCAGGCACACCTGTCAGCCTCAGTGTAAATAACTGATACAACCAAGGTTGTTACTGGCATGTTGCCACTATTGTGCAGAGCCCTACACAGCACACAGCTGACTAGCAGGCAGGCTAGGGGTCTGAGGACTGCCATCTGAGTGTACAGCTGAGATAAAGGCATTTTCAGGCTTTTAAGGCTGTCTCTATTTCTGGCTGCTCAAATCTCAAGTGAACCTCCGTCTGAACAAGACACACACTCGGATGCTATTTTCGTTTTCTGTTAAATAAGATCCATCATCATCTCCTTAATAATTTTTAATTTTCCTCCACAGAACTTCAGCTCTGTTGCCTTTTCTTTGAAGTCAGAATTACAGGCAGTATTCTGGTAAGAATTCATAGTTTGGCAGTGTTATATTTTGTTTACTAAATTCCTTTCAGCATTTTCTTGGCTGCAAATACCTCACTTACATGACATCTTCATTAATATTCTTGTAGGCACTGAAATCATGTGCTATTTTTTCATTCACATTGCTTTGTGATATCATGAAAAAAATCCTGAAGTAGTCTTCATTATCAGCTCTCATTATAACACTACTGTTTACTGGAACATTCACTTGCTTCATGAAACTTCCAATCTTCAGGGCTATCAGAAATTTCCCCACTTTACAGATGAAGATTAACTTATATACATTATGTACGTAAACTTATATGGCGTTTCCTGGATCTGAATCCCTTGCTGTTTCACAGCTAATGAGAGACTCAGTTTTCTTCAAAAATCTTTCCTTCATACAGTCTTCTTTGGGAAGAGAAGCCTTTTTCTATTTATCTCCTTAATGTCTTCAGGAAATTACTAATTTGCCATCCCAGTGAAAAGTCATGTGGGTAACACTGTAGGTAGCAGCTATACTCTCCCAGGGAAAGCAAAGAATGCACTTGCCAGTGTTTCATAACCACAAAAATCCCACTGTTTTACTCCGCTGTTTCAAACGACGCTGGTGTACAGCATGCTTGTGCCAGGGGACAGGGCCATTAACGAGATTCATGCCAGGAGAAGCTGGACTTTATCTTGTTCTTTATGTTTATCTCCTGAGTTTCCTCCTCGGAGCAAGAGATGCCACATTCCTTCTAACAGGTCTCTCTTACAACTCTGCCTTATCCAGCCACAGTACCCTTCTAGTGTCTCCCTCACAGCATCTTTCAGAATTTTTTTTTCTTTCCAGGACACGCACGTTGGCTGGGCCCCAGAAACGCTTCCAACTCTCAGACGACTCTACTTAACAGAGCACAGTTTCTTTTAAGCCTTTCTTGCTTCTTCTCAGGTCAGGCATTTTATGTACCCAGACACTTGAGTATTCCAAGGCCTTGACTCCGGTCCTCAGACTTCTAGCGACCCTATCTGGCCTTGACATTCCGGAAACAACGGCCGCACCCTTTTCTCCAAACACCACACCGGAAAACCAAACCTTGAAGCGCTCAAACCCTTCAGTGCATCCCGGACCTGCCGGAGAGAGAAATAGCCCGCGGTTCGCGCATGCGGACTCGGCGGCCGCAGCCCCGACGCCCCAGTCACCTCCCCTAGCCCGGCGCGGCGGTTTGGAGCCCGCTGACAGCTTCACCACCCAGACGCCGCCTCGTCTCGTGCTTCCACGTTATCCTATCAGAGGAGGGGCGGGGCGGCGGCTTCTGAAGCCAATCAGCGCCAACCACGACCCAGGCAAGCCCGGTCGCACTGCGGCCAGGAGGAAGCCGACTGGTCCTCGGTGGCGCTCGGGGCGTAACGTCGCTGGGACTCCGCCCACCGTTACCTTTTTCTGCTGGGTGCTCGCCGCCGCTCAGGCCTGGGAGTCTACCGCAGGCGGGCGAAGCTGTACTGGGCGCCCGCGCGGACTGCTGGGCCGCGCACCTTCCTCCTCGCATCCCGCTCTCGGACATGGTGGCCCCTGGCTCCGTGACCAGCCGGCTGGGCACGGTGTTCCCCTTCCTGTTGGTCTTGGTGGACCTGCAGTACGAAGGTGAGTCCTCTGTCCCGCGGGGGAGCGGGCCCCGGGCCGGGGTCTTCCGCGCGTTCCCCGAGTCCCGGGTCCGCGAGGTTCGAGGCGGCGCGGGCGGCACCGGGGAGCCAGTGGCGCGGCCTGGGCTCGAGCCGAGTTTGGGCGGGGGCCGGCCGCCGGTTCCGGGTTTGTGTAGGGCAGAGGCGAGGACGCCAGCGGGTTCCCCGGGGTCCTGACTTGGGGCCTGTCCTGAGACGCGGGGCTCGCATGGGACTGTCTCTCGGCGCCTGGGGACACTGCTGGTCAGTGGTGCCAGAGGAGGCGGTGGCCAAGATGGGAATCGCCTCTTGCTTTGGAGCTCCCAGGTGGCGAAGGCCGGGGGAAGCGGAGGGGACAGTGTTGACTGCATAGAAAGTCGTGGCCGGCACGTTTCCCTGCTCGGTGACGTGTGTGGAAGTTGTTAGGTCGATGCATCAAAAGTTGGTGTTGGGATTCTAGTTCCCAGAGGGCAGGACAGTTTGTGGGTTTTCCAACTCCCAGCATGGTGTCAGTTCTGCTTAGGGCTGACTGTCCTTTTGAAAGTTGCTTGGAAAAAGGTTTCTTTATAAAAGACAGGGGCGCTTAAATTTCACTGTTTCAGCCTGTAATGTTGGCTGCGCAGAGAAAATAGAGGGCTGTCCCAGCTTGGGTGTCAGCGGGAGGAATAAGAATTAAAGGCGAAAGTGCCAGTTTGGCGAATGCCCCCAGCTTAGCTACACTGCTGAGTATAATGACACATGTGACACATGCACTGATTAATGTTTATCTCCACAAAAGGGAATAGTTGTCAAGGAAGCCAAATTAAACATTTTGGATATTCACGTCCGTTCAGAGAGAAGAACTGAACTTGGGAATTGTGTGTGGTGAACTCTCAAAATTGTTATCGTTCACTCTTTCTGTTGTAGGTAATACTCTTTGGTTTTTAGGTATCATTAAGGCAAGTGGTGTTTTGTGTCTTGGTGACCAGGAGGTTTTTTTTTTAAACTGGAAGGTAGAATATGTAGTGTAACAATATTGCGACAAAGAATTTGACAGCGAGGCCGCCCTGAAAAATGTAGGAAATTTGAATTCAAATGCCTGGACCGCTTTAATATATATATATATTTAATATACAGTTAATGTATATTTACTATGTGCCAGAACTTTTCCATTTTGTTTATATCCAGTTATTCTTAGTGATTTATTTTTGATACAAGACAGTTGCTTATCGCTAATGTTAGTTTTTTAAAATTTGTAAAATTATGGGGGTGCACATTTTTGCATCACTTGCTTTTCCACAAGTTTGTCTTGTTTTGTTTTTGAGACAGAGTCTCACTATTCAGTTCAGGCTGGCTTTGAGCTCACTTTATAGCCCAGGCTGTTCTCGAACTTGCAATGATCCTCAGCCTCCCAAGTGCTGGGATTACAGGTGTGTGCCACCATGCCCAGCTTCCACTGGTTTGTTGACCACCTTTTAGAATTTTAAAAAAATGGTTCTGTAAATGCTTAACATTTCATTTCTGTAATATGATATTTTTCATTAAAAAACACATTAGAGAGCTTTTCTATGGAGGAAACCTCTGACATTTCTCAGAGGGCCAGAGTGCTCTCTTCCCTCTTATTTTGCCCTTTGCCTGTGTAAAACAGTCGGAACTTGGTGTAGGTGATGGAGTAGAAAGCAAAAGAGCCTCTCTGTAAGCTCTCTTATTGATGGAGCTATGTGGCATTGTTTCTGTTTTACAGGTGACAGAGCTGTATTTAGGAGCGTAATTAAAGTTCATCTTGTTTGCAAGCTGGAATAGGAGTTAAATTGTTGACAGTATCTTGTGCATTCACTCATTTCTATATGGTGGGAGAATTGGGGAAAATAAACTCTTTTTTTGTTTTTTGTTTTTGTTTTTGTTTTTTGGTTAGCCACTACCAGTCACTGACAAGGTGATTTGTACAGTGGCTCTCAAACTTGAGTGCACCTCAAAATCTCATTTACAGAGTTTTTAAAAGCACAGGGTTTTGGGCACCCTTTTGGAGTTTCTGATTAAGTAGGTCTTGATGGGACCTAAAATTTTGCATTTATAGAAAGATTCCAGGTGATCAACACTTTGAGAATCACTGGTGTGATACATTATATAGAGGAGTTAAATTAGGAATTGCTATGTAAAGATTCTGGAATTGGTGACGGGTAAATAAAAACAAAAGTTCTGATGTGAGTGGCATCCTGTTAGATTCTGTTTTCCCAAATAAGTTCTGTCTGGGATCATGAACTTTATTTACATTTCTCAGAAGGTGCCTCTGCTAAGCTGGGAGGAGAGAAGAAATAAAGGAGACTTGTGTGAGAAGTTTGAGAAACAGTTGCATGCTATGAGAATGTAGCGGTAATTAGCTGAGATAGCCTAGTTTTTTCCGACTTAAAAAAGCATTTATCTTTTTTTTCTTCTGTTAATTGTAAACTTTACCGTTAATTGTAATCTAGAAGAGAGCATGTATCATGAATTGAAAGACTGACTCAGTATTCTCAAAGATGTTTGAAAGAAGTACGGTAACTGGATTAGAAATAGAATTTTGGCACTAGAAAGAAATCTTTAGTATCTGCTTTATTCTCTTATTACAGATAAGGAAATTATTTCACCTGTTTGCTAATGAGTTGTTCTACTTAGTGAGTTGGATAACAGACTGAAAAACAAAACTTGTTTTCTGTTATCAAAGTTTAATTGCTTTTCTTTCTTTCTTTCTTTCTTTCTTTCTTTCTTTTTTTTTTTTGTGCTGGGGATCGAACTCAAGACTTTGTGTTTGCCAAGCAGGCACTTACACCTTGGAGCTAAGTCCCCGGGCTATGTTTTCTTTCTTAACATGTCATGTGGACCCATTTTTTTCTTTATTTCAATAAATGGAACTGATTAAACTGTGTATTTTGTACAGTGAAAAAGAATAGTTGAAAATTTTTATGTGTAAAATATTTATTTGAACCTAACTTACTAAAAGTATGTTTTGTCTTCTTAAGGATTTCCTTGACTTTCATTAAATATAAAAAGAGTAATACAGTAACAATGATTTTAAGCAAGTCAGATAAACTAAGTTTCATAGCAGATGGTCAGATAACTCTTAGTTATTTTAAATTCTTTACAACATAGGTTGTAGTTTGCAGTAGAGTAGAAGTCCAATTCATCTGAGTCTAGCATTCTCTGAGTACCTGAAAATGTAGTAGTTTTTAATCGGTGGCACAGGAGTTTCCTTGGATGAGGGACCCTATAGTAAATGGGTTTTATTTTCTCATGTGAAGTTAATTCATTATGATTCAGTTCCCATTGTCTGTCATCCCTTGATTAATCAGTAATTATTATTCCATTATTATGGAAATGGCATGGGAGCCCAGTGTTCTGCTCTTTAGAATGCAAATATTTTACCATAAATTTATTTTTCTTAACATATCATTAGAAACTGACTTTTAGAAAAGTGATATGATATGTTTGTGTTATTTGGAGTTCTGGGATACAGAAGCGGCATCAAAGCACTGTTGTGCTTTGGTGAGATTGTATATATATGAGAATTTTGCTTTAGGAGTTTACGAATTGTTTGGGAGTTTAAGGTATGCATTTTGAAGCATCTGAGTGCTCTTCACCAACTTTCTTAGTTTGGATTTAGTGATTTATCATTGTAGTTACTATATTGTAAACAGTTTTTAATTTCCTGGCTCCTTTATTCTTTGGTTTCATTCATCTCGCAAATCACAAAACTGATTAAATCCAACTGGCCAATTTGTTTGTTGTACCTCAGAGCTGAACACAGATGGAGAAGAATAATTTCATTGTTAGTCTCATTTTAAGTGTACAATTTCAATCTCAACACTGAAATTGAATACTGCTAACGTTCTTATAATTCTTTAGTATGTATGTTCTTGGAAATCAATATTTTAAACTTTTTCCTTACACCTCCAGTTTAAATTCCTTTTGCCTCATTCTTTTAGATCTTGTCTTTATTGAGAAAATGAAATCCATCACAGGACAACATCCTGTCCTTTCTACCAGCAGTTCACTAGCTTATCTACATCTGAGCACTATCTTTTCTCATATTAAACCATCTCTATTTTGGTGAAGTCTTATCTTTTATGTTCTGGGTTGAATTTCCTCTCACCTGAAAATGTTTCTTTTACAGTTGTTTGAACTTCTGTAACAAAATACTTTAAACTGAATAATTTTATAAATAATAAAAATTTATTTCATCTTTAGATTACTTCTGAGCTTGCTACTTGGTCTGGGCCTATCTGGCTTGAACCAGGGTATTTTGACCATCAGTTATGGTTTTCTTGACAGGGAAGCCCAAGGTCACTCGTCTGTTGAGGGCCACACTACTGTATACTTATGTGGCAGAGGGGCCTTACTTAGCATAAGGTAGAAGAGCAAAACGGATCAGTTTATTCCCTTGTTCATTTTTTGTCCTTGTTTTATTTTTATTTTTTATTTTTTTATTTTTGAGACAGAGGTTCACTGTAGTTCAGACTGGCTTTGAACTCACTACTTAGCCCAGTCTGGCCTCCAACTTACAGTGAGCCTCCTGCCTCAGCCTCTGACAGTGCTGGCATTATAGGAATGCACTACGCCCAGCTTCCCCTGTCCATTTTATGAGGTGCTAACACATTCATGAGGGCATGGCTGTCATAATTTAATCAGTTCTGAAACCTCTTAACACCACCACAATGAAAACTAAGTTTCATCACATAAATTTTGGTGATTTTTCAGACCATAGCAAGTTCTGTCCTATGTCGCTGTCTGTCTGTATTTTTCTTCTGTTGTTTCTCCAACATATTTTATTTGTGACTGTAAAGCATTATGTGTCTGACTCTTTACTTCTCCAGACTTTGTTTTTTTTTTCAAAAATATTTTGTTTTTTTGTGGACAGGGTCTTGTTATGTACTTTGGGCTGGCCTTGAACTCAGAGAGTTCTTCCTGTCTCAGCCTCCCAAGTGGGATTATAGGTGTGAGCCTTCATGCCTAACTTTTCTCCAAATT